AAAAAAAAAAAACAGGAAATGAAACGCAGTCAATCGTCGTTCCTGGAGTTTTTTTTTCTTTCCCAAAAAAGGAGAACTAGACTGGCGTCTCTTTCAGGACAGAATTACCCGGTGATCACTTAGCTAACAGGATCTTCGACTCCCGAAACCATACCGTGAGAGACCAGTCCACACGGACGCGCACGGCTTTACATGATCACAACAGGACAAAACGACGGAGTTTGAATGAGCAGAGAAAGTTTGTTTGTTTGCGGTCAAAAGAATCAGAATTACCCCCCATCCACCCACCCACCCAGCAATAAGCCATGAGCTGCGGTCGGCGTCCGGCTCTCGGAGAGCCGCCCCTACCTTCCAGGCTGAAGTCCAGCAGCACGTACTCGTACGCGCTGTCCGTGCGGGTCTCCACCTGCGGTCTCTTCAGGGAGGAGTAGATCTTGCCGGGGCTGCTGTCCTCCGGCTCCTCCAGCTTCCTGAGCCCGCAGCCCATGGCGGCGCGACGGGTCCCCTTCGCCGAGCCTAGCGGGCTGACCTCTCCATCACCAGCGCCGGCGGCGGAATCCGAGCTGCGGGCGTCCGAGAGGCGAGAGCGGGGGGGCCCCCACCTCCGTCTTAGCACCGGGAGCGATGGTAAAGAGCCCGGGGAGTCGACAATCTTTTTTTTTTTTTTTAGGAGGAGGAGGAGGGTTTTTCCAAGTACGCTCGACAGAACTGAAACTTCTGCACAACAAAACCTTGCCTTTTGCTGCTGTGCGTGCCACGTCAGTCCCGACCCTTAAAAGACAAACACCCCAAAAGCTCCGAGAACAGAGGCTGCTACTTCTCCAAAACGTCCCCTTACCGCGAGAAGGCGAGAAATGAACACTACTTTGCAGCGCATCATGGGACTCTCCTAAAAGAAAGAAACAACACACAAAAAAATCTGCCACAGTCCCTCCCAGCCACGACTGCTTCCGAAAATAAACCCGGTTCGGTTCCGTGTGCCCCGGCTCCTCGCGAAAACCCGATAGCGGCGGCCGGGGGGAGGG